AATCCAAGGACACAAGATATCTTTCCATTTGGTTGCGCCTTAATTTATTTCAATGTCTTCGTTTTCAGTGTACCTGTCTTTCATGTCCTTAAATTTATTCCTAAGTATTTTATTGGTTTTGATGCTATAAGTGGGATTTATATTTTTTTCTTTTAGATAGTTCATTGTTAATGTATAGAAACACAACTGATTTTTGTTTCCTGCAACTTAACTGAATTTGTTGATTAGTTCTAACTTTTTTTGGTGGAGTTTTTAAGGTTTTCTGTACATAGTACATGTCATCTGTGAATAGAGATAATTTTACTTATTCCTTTTGTATTTGGATGCCTTTTATTTCTTTCTCTTGCCTAATTGCTCTGGCTAGGTCTGTGTTGAATACAAGCGGCAAGACTGGGTTGTCTTACTCACTATTGGGTATGATGTTAGTTGTGGGTTTGTCATATGTGGCTGTTATAATGTTGAGGTACATTTCTTCTATACCTAATTTGTTGAGAGTTTTTATCATGAAAGTACATTGAATTTTGTCAGATGCTTTTTCTTTATTGAGATCATATGATTTTTATCCTTCATTCTGTTAATGTGATGTATCACATTTATTGATTTTTGTGTATGTTGGACCATCATTGCATACAAAGGATAAATATAATTTGATCATGGCATATGATCCTTCTAACGTGCTGTTGAATTTCGTTTGCTAGTGTTTTGTTGAAGATTTTTGCATCTATGTTCACCAAAGATATTGGTGTATAACTTTCTTGTAGTGTCCTTGTCTGGCTTTGGTATCAGGGTAAAGCTGGCCTCATAAGATGAGTTTGGGAGGGTTCCTTTCTCTTCAGTTTTTTTGGAAGAGTTTGAGAAGGATTGGTATAAACTTCTCTTTAAATGCTAGGTAGCAATCATCAGTGATACCATCTGGTCCTGGGCTTTTCTTTTTTATTACCAATTCAACCTCCTTACTTGTTATTGGTCTCCTCAGGTGTTCTAGCTCAATGATTCAGTCTTAGTAGGTTTTGTTTCTAGGAATTTATTCATTTCTTCCAGGTAATCCAATTTGTTGATGTATAATTGTTCATAATGATCTCTTATGATTCTTTGTATTTCTGTGATATCAGTTGTAATATCACCTTTCATTTCTGATTTTGTCTTTTTTTTTTTCACTGTAGCTAAAAGTTTGTCAATTTTATCTTTTCACAAAACCAGCTCTTAGTTTCATGGACCTTCTCTATCATTAGTCTGCTCTGATTTTTATCATTTCCTTCCTTCCTGCTAACTTTTTGCTTAGTTTTTTCTTTTTCTAGTTCCTTGAGGTATAAAGTTAGGGTGTTTATTTTTTTTCTTCATGAGCGGGAGATGGGGAGCAGAGGGGGAGGGGAAAAAGAGAATCTTAAGCATGCTTCACATCCAGTGCAGAGCCCAAATGCAGGTCTCGATCTCACAACACTGAGCCGAAATCAAGAGGTGGACGCTTAACTGACTGAGCCACCCAGGCACCCCAAAATCCTTTTTTTCTTAATGTAAACATTTATTGTGATAAACTACCCTCTTAGAACTGCTTTTGCTGCATCCCATATTTTAGTATGTCGTATTTACGTTTTCATTTGTTTCAAGATATTTTTTGGTTTCCCTTTTGACCTGTTTTTGATTTCTTCATCATATTTACTATTAAGAGATTTCCATCACTTAAAAACAAAACTCTAAAGTTCTTAGTCTGGTATCTAAGAACCTCCATAGTGTGTCTCCAAATGACCATCTAACTTAGAGTTCCAGTTTACCTTTCCACATACTCTGCACCCCAAACAGGTTTATTATACTAAGCTCTAGCATTCCTTTCTTCAAGCCTTTTCTCAGGCTGTTCCCAGTCTGCAGTTCCTTCATTTCATTCTGCAGGTCTAAGCCCTCACATCCTTCAAGGCCTAGGTCAAATGCCACCTCCTAGTTCAGCCCTTCCTGGTCCTCTCAGGCTTTGTACCTCCTCTACATGGTAATGGTCATTTTCTCCCTTCTTTGAGTAATTTTGAAGTCCATGTCTTGATTTCCTTCTGGAGATAAGGGATCCTTATTAGAGACAGGTTCCTTCTAGAATTGGGCCATACATGTTCAACAAACAGTTGTTAGATGAGAGAATACTTCTCCTAGGACTGTCAGAAGAACTTTGTTCAAAGCTGACATTTGCGTGTGTCTATGTTAGGTACTAAGTGCTTTATACGTAACAGTTCATGTAATTCTCACCACAGTCTTTATGAGGTGACTTCCTTTCAAAGCTCCCATATGACAGATAATGAAACTGAAGCACAGCAAGTAGCTAATCTACTCAGTATCATGTAGCCTTTCAGTGGTAAAACAGCTTTTGAACCAGACTCTAGAGCTCATAGTCTTTACTATAATTTCTTCTGTCTCAACAGAGAAAAGCAGCAAGAAATCGAGAATGTTGTTACTCAGCTTCCTGACTACCCGAAGCTCTCTGAGCAAGGGACTGCCTGTCCTGGGAGTGGGTCTACCTTCACTGGGACCAAGGGGAGACCTTGGATCATGGATCAAGAGCTAAGGTCAGGCCAAGGGGTTGACACTGAATCTTTGCAATGGAAATGGCCACACTTTAAAGTTCTAACTCATCGAAGAGTTGCCCACTACCCGCCCCCAAAATATGAGAAAGAACAAGATTGAAGTCTCTTTGCTGTTGAAGAAAATATGTGAATTCCATTTAGCTCTTGCTAAGTAGAGGGTTTTGCCAGGTTGCTCCTAGGAAAATATTCTAAGAGCAGAATGAAACCCATGATGTCTTTCTTATGGGAGTTCAATCACCCTATAAAACTCATGTTTGCTTTTATGGAAAGTAAAAGAAGGGCATTGGAGGGGTTGGCACAGAGTCCACACCTTGCGTGTTGGGAACCCAACCATCTCTCTCAGTTGGCAGTCCCGTTAAGGATAATCATTGAGCCCTTGTGTTCCTTTGTTAACATGTGGGTCTTGAAGCTTTCCTAGAAAATGGGTCTTGGTTTACACCCCCTCAGTAAAGTAAGGGCTATAACTTTCACCAGCTCTGTCTTAAAGAGTACCAAGCTCTGTTGCAAGCTCTGTTTCAGTTTACTCCATCGTACTCAAAGACAGCAGATGCCATGGGCATTTTCCCTATTGTATGAAGCAGTATGAACATCTGGCCCCTTCAGGAAAGGGAGAATTATCTTCTCTTTCCCAAAATGACTGGATGATCACATTTTAAATATATATGCACCATGGCACTAACTCCTGGGAAGATATGCAAGATTGAGGTTTGACTGCTTTCTGCCACTAAAATAGCTCCCTGGCAGTTATGCATGTATGATTGGAGGTATACCCATCAGATACACATATTCTGCTTCAATAATAAATAATGCCAGACAGCATTTAGATACTAGAGATTTTTATTAGAAGTTATATTGTTTTTGTCTTACTATAAAGGTAATACATGCCCAGAACAAATAACATTCAGGGAGTAAAAATTTAGAAAATAGAAATAAAAATATTTCTTAAAATCCCATAACCCAGAGATGATTACCTCCAATATTGCTTTAATATGCATATAAAATAGAATAATCCTGTAATATTTAACTAGCTCTTTGCACTTGATAGTGTATCATGAACAATTTCTGATATGAAATGTTTTATGGAGCATTGATAATTTTTTGAGTGCATATTACATTCACATGAGTTTTATTTATATATACACATACCTGCTTGTTACCCTCCATTCCCCATAGGTAACTACCTGTTTCATTGGTTTTAAAATATCTTCCCAGAGTTTCTTTGCACAATATAAGCAGATTTAAATATGTTTTTATTCCCCTCACAACTTTTATGCAAAATGTAGCCTTCTGAACGCACTTTTACACCTTGATTTTTCTAATAGATCTGTCTACTCTACCTGGAACATTGTCCATGCTGCATTATTATTATATTGCCTCGTCGTGTTTTGGATATTGTTTAACCAATTCCTGATTTGGGGATGATTTTTTTAGACCTTTGGCTGTCTCAAAACAGCTTTAATTATTAGACTGTATCTTTGTATACAACTCATGATTATTTCCTTAGGATAAATGACTTGAAATTCTTTGCTGGGCTTTTGCTTCATGTTTTCCAAATTGATCCTGAAAGGTTCTAGCACTTTGTACCTTCCCCAGCAAGGGTTGCCAGCGGGTCCAAAGGGAATTAAGTTAATAGAGGCCATTTGGAAGAGTGAACCTTTCGAATATTATATGCAGGAGGAAATAGAAACAGGAAAGCCACGGGGGACCACTATTGTGATGGTGTGGAGGGAGAGGGCTCGGTGAGGGGTGGCTGGAAGTATTTGAAAGAACACATCAGAACCTGAGTGAGATGTCCATTCTGGTCTTGCCTCTGCTGGGACATCTGGGATAAGTCTCTAAGGTCTTCGAGTCTGTTTTTTCATCACTGAATAAGGGAGGAGTGCTTTCTGAGTTCTCCCTCTTTCTAATGCTGTGGGTTACTCTTCTCTCTTCATTTCAGTAAATGCTAAGCCTCACCTTCTCAATCCACCATCTTTCATAAAATTCAGGGTGAATTTATGTGTGTGAATGTAACTTTTTTTTTAATTTTATTATGTTAGTCACCATACATCATGATGTATGTAACTTTTTAAAAACTCATTTATCTTCAGATGATGTATCATAGACACTGCAGATGTGCAACAGCATTCAGCAGCAGTAGGTGACTCACAAACACCGAACTTGGGGAGGTGGCGGCGGTAGATTTGGCTCTTTGTGGTGCAGAGATTTAACAGGTGGCAGCCAGGGAGGCTGAGCGTCAGCTCACACCCCCCTGACCAGGCTCCCCAGCCATCAGCCAGCCCCCGCAGGCAGGCGTCCAGTTATTGGTCACCTCCGTGCCAGGGCCGTTTGTCGTTAGAAGCTGCCCCAACTTCACCAAAGGAGAATTTTGGTCACTGAGCTAAGACTGGTCAAGGATAAACAAGATGCCCAGGCATTTCCTTCCTTTCTCTACAGCAAGCAAACTAAAGAGGATCCAGGTGTGCAAGAACTGGAGGCATTAATAGACACAATCCAGAAGCAACTGCAAGATCATCCGTGCAAAGACAACATTTGCGAAGCCTTTCAAATTTATGACAAGGAAGCTTCAGGATATATTGACAAAGAGATGTTCTTTAAAATCTGTGACTCTCTCAACCTGCCAATTGATGATTCCTTGATTAAGGAGGTCAGTAGGAGTTGCCCTTCTGGGTTGATTGCAGAGGCTGTGAACACCCGTTTTTTTCTCTCCCAGAGGCAGTTGCGGGTGGTTTTGGTTTTAACGGTAAAATTTAAGATGTTTGAATCAGATCTCTTATTCGGCCCTCATTTTTATGGTTTCCCCTTGATTGTCGCATTGGGGTTCTTTGCTCATGGCTGCAGTAAGGCCTCTCTTTACGTGGGTATTGGTTAGACCGCACAGCATGGTGGATAAGCCATGGCCGCCGAAGGAGGGCTGCAGCCGTGATCCCAGAGGGGCAGCCCCAAGGGGAGACCCAAAGGTAATGGGATTGAGCAGGATGGGAGGGCAGCCTGTGGCCACCCTCCCAGCCAGCGCTTACCGTAGCTCAGCAGTACAGCGGGCGTGGGAGAGGGCGTGACCACCGCCCAGGGCAGCCGTGTCTGTCAGGAACGGGTCACCCAGAGACAGCTGCACACGGAGGAAGGACATGGACATTGTCCTCCTGGAATTTTCATGAGTGAGTTGCAGAGGGGGTTTTGTGCCTTTGTTTCATTAGAAATCCCTCTAGCCAGGGCTTCCCTGGAACTTGGACCAAAATTTCTCCCACATTTGCCGATGACTGTGACATCACTGAGACTTCTCCCTGATAAAAAGCCTGCTGTAGACCTTCTTAAAGATTTTAGCAAAAAGGGATGTTCAGAAGTGAAGACTCATTTAGGGGAGGCTGTCGTGTGGTGCTGGAAAAGAGGATTTTTCAGATATTGGAACATTAGCAGGGAGGGGAAGAGGGCAGGTAGAAAAGAATGTGTTCACTTGGGCAAATGCCCATTTAGCTTCCCAAATCTCAGATGGACAGCATGCCCAGCTTTTGATTTTTTTTTTTAAGTCATTTGTGCTGTGACCTTGACATAGGAATTGCGGTCAGCAGGGTGGGGAAGGTGTGGGTGGCAAGGATGATTTGCACATGTAAAGGTAACCACAGCAGATCAGGCTACTCCCCCCAGAGCGGAGCTTCAGGGGACATGGTTTGAGCAGTGACGCAAGGCTTCTTGGCCTTTGGGCAAAGATCAAGTGAGCAGTGACGGAACTAGATTCTTCTATTATCCTGTGATAACAGCAACTTGCTATTTTAAAGAGTTCTACTCTGTGCAGACCAGGTGGACAAAGCTCGTATTTGAATATAAAAATAATTAAAAGTGCTCTGGAAATGACAGTGTTCTTATAAATGTGAGTCCTGAAATCTCTGGCAGGCCCTTGACTCCTCTGAGCTTCAGTTTCATTCAGTTGAAGATGGGGATTATGTCTGACCCACGTGCCAGGTTCACAGGAGCATTTTAGAATCCGCTGATTTAAACTCTGACCTGGTTTACAAAGGCTGGGGATGGTTATTAATAAGCGGGCCCTGCCGCTCTGTCTCACCTGCTCTCTGCTTTCTCCCGCAGTTGATCAGGCTGTGCCCTCACAGAGAAGACAAGATTAACTACTGTCACTTTGTGCGTGCTTTCTCCAACTGACCTGGCTGAGGAGAGAATGCAGTACGACGTTTTGAGGTCAGACCTACATTTTGAAACACCTTGTACTTTTCATAGAGGCATTCACAGGGATCTTTATATTTTTCAGTTCTTAGATTTCAATACTAAAATCTAAATTAAACTGGTCTTTTAAGAGCTAAGATTGGTGCTTTATTTGGGGAGGTAGGGGTAGGGTATTGTGATGGCTAATTAGGTATCAGCTTGTCTGGGGCCATGGAGTGCCCAGATGTTTGGTTAGACATTTCTCTGGGTGTGTCAGTTTCTGGCTGAGATTAACAGTTGAAGTGGTAGACTGAGTAAAAGCAGATTGCCCTTGGGGTGGGTGGGCCACATCCAATCCACTGAAGGCCTGAACAGAAAAGGCTGACCATTCCCCAAGTAAGAGAATTCCGCATGCCTTTGGACTCAAACACTGGCTTGTCCTGGGTCTCGTGCCTGCTGGCCTGGCCTTCAGACTAGAACTATACCCTCCACTCTCATGGGAGCAAAATCTTGGGAATCGTCAGCCTCCATAATCCCACGAGCCTATTCTTTATAAGAAAACTTCTTTCTCTACATAGACATTCCATTGGTTGGTTCTCTGGAGAATGCGGACTACTACGGGTGTGGAATGACTACGACCAGAAGGAAAGCCAGATTTTGCTGGGGCAGCAGCATGTGGGGTGTTGGAAATACGCACACTCTGCTGTTACTGCGGGCTGGAAGCCACAGTTTTTGAACTGTGGCTCTAGGCCCATTAGTGGACCTGCAGTTTTTAAAAAATGGAATAGAAAATATAAGTGTGGTACAAATAGGTTATATATTTCATGAAACTTTTGTTTCAACTGAGTGTATTTACTGGGTCATAACGGAAAATGTATTGCTTGATGTGAATTATAGTTAAAATATATAGTAGAAAAATGCTGCTTTTCGAGAGCCTAGCCTTGAGATGACAGGAAAAGTAGTTACTGGTTATCTGATGAGCTCTGCCTCAGCTTTTAGAACGAGGGCTGCTCCCGAGTTGAGGCCAGCCACCACCTCCAATTTATAACTGCCAGCCCAGATTCTTCCCTGCTTCCCCAGGCGGTGGTGTAAAGGAGGGGGGAGCTGTCCCTACAGGATCCAGGACACCTGCCCTCTCAGAACTGCTCGTTCTTCCTTCACTGATGAGCCAAGCCCCCCCTCCAACTAGCTTACTCAAAGGGCTGTAAGACCGTATGTACTGACTCCTTTCCTGCTCCAGGTCGGTTATCTCAAGAACTAGTGAAAGCCCCCAGTCACTTAACTAGTAAAAGCCTAATTTCCAAGTACTCAGAAGTCCTGAATTCAGTCTAAAGTAAAAATCCTAAACTCTATCCTGCCTGCCCAAACTTAGAAGCCTTAGTGTGTGTGTGAGTGATAGGTATAGTGGGTTTCTTCTTCCTTCTGGTTTCTGCTCCCCTTGCTCCCAACTCAGCCCCACTGCTGTTTCTGGCCTGTGTCCGGGAAGGGTAGCGAGTAGACCCCAGAGGAAAGGGGCAAAGTCTTATTTCTGGGTCCGGTGAAGTCGTCATCTGGGTCAGGGCCTTGTGTGTGTCATGTGCCAAAAGGCTGTCTCTCTCACTAACCCCCCCCCCCCCCCCCCCGCCCCAGAAAGGACACTCCCACAGGAAACCTCTCAGATGGCCCAGTCTCCAGCGTGCCCGGTCCTAAAAGCACATTCCCTCCGGGCTCCTCCTCGTCCCCTCAGGCTTTCCCTCCCAGGGCCTTCACTCTTGCTGTGTGTCCGTCTAGATTGCTCTCTGGCCTGTGCAGTTCAGCAGCTCAGCTGGTCCTTTCCTGGAGACTCACCGTAGGTGAGAATCAGGTACTAAATCTCATGTTCTCTTAACTCTAGAGGACCCAGGTCAAACTGAGTCCATTAAAGCATCTCCCTCACTTAGCTTGTGAACCTACTGTACTCCGACAGTCCCTTTCAGGAACTCCACACTCTAGTAACTTCTCCACAACCCTGCAAGAGGGAAGTTCATGAAACTGGATCCTCAGGTCTTTCACAGGTCTGCGCCACCTGCTACAGACGGAGGTACCTGCCGGCTTTGGTCCGAAGCCAAAAGAGAGCCATTAGGAGAACGTCCTCTCGCCCACCTTCTGAGGTCCAGGTGCTCCTCCCCCTTCTACCTTGTTCTGACTGTTCTCTTCTGTGCGTGCCCCGCTGTGAAGGTCAAGTGCCTCACGGAGAGCTATGCTGAGTATGGCAGGCCTTGCTCGCCTACAGGACTTCAGCCTCACTTCCCAAGCTTGCCCAAGATGGGAAGCTCCATCACCACGTTACAGACGACCAGAGCCAGCAGGTCCCTTCTGGGGTCCCCACGCTCCCTGCTCAGCCCCGCTAGTTTATACCAGCCCCGCCGAGGGTAGAGCCACACGCACAGATCGTTCTCCTGAACTCCGAACGGCGCCGCAGCCACCTGATGTCGCTTGGGCTGCACTCAGCCCCGGCACACAGTGGGGTCCTGGCCGAGGGGACGTTAGAGTGGGGCGTTAGCCTGCAGCCAGCAGCACTGCAGGGAGGGGAAAGGACCTCTGCTGAGGGGGCCGCCAGGGAGGGGAGACAGGTTGCCTCCTGCCTCGCGTCTGCCCCATAGGCCGCCGAGAACTGTGGCTCTCCACTCTCACTGAGCGATGGGGACAGGACGGCTTGGGACAGCTAAGGGCTCGGGGCAGCAAAATCTGCCCTGCGGGGGAAGACAGGCTCGGGGGCAGCCGCCGCTCAGGCCCGGGGCTTGCACCCTGTCTGTAACCACCCTCAGGGCCTTGAAAATACCAGCTGAGTAGGGCGGGTCAAACCCCTGTCTCTAGGCTTTGAGGGCATTTGGGACCAAGAGGGGGAGAAGACCTCTCAATGCTTCCAGAAAATCAGGGGTCACTTGGGTGAGGGACTCCTTAAGATCCTGCTCGTACCAAATAGCCTAAGTGTATGTGTTCATTAAAAACCAGCCAACAGCGCTTTATTTGTACCATGCACTCAGCATTCACCTTCCCTAAATCTCACTGGCACCACTCCCTGTGAAAACAAGCAGCAAGCACACAACCCTCAAAACTATAGAACACAGATGAACAGGCTCAGAAAGGTTAACTGGCCAAGGTCACCTAGCGTCTTCCGGCAGAGCCGGACCAAAACCCACGTCTGCAGCAGAGCTTGCCCTCCATGGGTGTCCCTCAGCCTCACCTCAGGTGAGTGCTTCCTGTGCCATCCTCACGCCCTGTGGGGGTCTATGGCTACCTGCCCCCCGTAACTGCACTCCTCTCCTGTGCTCTCTGAAGACCGTTCTGGAAAACACGGACCGCTGCAGGCAAGAGCAGGCCATAGAACAGACCCCAGCAATCCCCACGGCCCACCACCATGACGAATACTGTTCAGCACCAACAGCAGGATTTTACACGCACACCTTAGCCCGTGACTGCATCACGCAGCAAGCTCGAGGTGCTTCCCCGTGGAGCTTGGCGGCAGACCCCGTGTCAAGAAAAAGCCTTTCTGCTTTTCTACTTTACTTTATGGTTACAGACTCAAAAATGCCTAGAACGACCCAGCACGCAAGATAACTTTCTCCATCCTTCATTCCAATTCCCTCCTTTCTGGGACCAAAACGAACAAATACCGCTCAAAACAGACATACAAGAAAGGACCATTAGAGTGAAAAATGGTATCAATGAGATTAAAATGGACACAAAATTACTTTTCAAGTGAAAACAAATGTAAGCATCCAGATTAAAAAGATAAAGTGACCACAGACAGCGAGACTGATAATTCTATGCCTTTTATTCAGTTATTTCAAAAATATTTGATCATTTGTTTCAAAATGTACATTAAAAAATCCATACAAAACTGTAATTTGTTTTAAAACCAGAAACAGTGGAAAAGGCTTTTGAAAAAAGTTCACTGAAAGTAAAAAGACCCCCCCACCCCCGCCCAAAAAAACTCCATCTTTTACATGAAAGCATAAATACGGCAGGTACAAATTTTCCTTGAGTTCCTAGTTGAAATTTGGTCCATGACATGAACAGGCTAAAGTAGAAAAACAAGACTTGTCCACATTTGCATTATGAGTTGCTCACGGCACCAGCAGCCTCAGCTCATCCTTCAGGTGTTTACTGAACAAAAGAACTGAAAAATGAGGTGTGGGGTCTCCTCACATGAACACTCAAATCCGTACCCAAGGACACAGCGGAGCTTACAGCCCCAGCCAGCCCCTGTCAGTGAACAGTGCACGCATGGCTGCCCCTCAGAACCACCTCCTTCCTCTCCACACGAACAAACTCTAGAATGCTCTTAGAGTGACGGTGACATCTCAGGCGTCCCAAGAGATCTTATTCCCAGACACGGATTTCTTTAATGCCCCATCATGAGAATTTTTTTTTTTCCTTTTCAACTGATTTAAGAAAAATCTACGGCCTTCTGAGGCGATGCTACACTGTTCTAGGAGAGTGCCACAGAAACCCACTCAGGATGGAGAGATGACCGCGATGAAGGGAAAGTAGCGCACGTTTCTTCGGTAGGGGAGGACGACCCCCCTCCCACGGGTCCCTTCCCTTCCCGGCTGCAGGGTACTTAGGGACAGCAGGGCCTGTGGAAGCCCACGGGCTGGGGGAGTTATTGCACAACCCGGAGGAGCAAGGGGATGGCGGGCAGCTGCGGCTGCTAACATAGGTAACACTGAGTTAGGAGCGCGGAGAAACTCTGCAACGACCAAACCAGACCCACCATCAGACCGGGGTCTGTGAGCAAACACTTGTGACTGGGAAGTAAAAGTAAACACCTTGATCATATCAACTGTGGGTTGAATAGGAGGCAAAAAAGATTGGAAAAAGTTAGAGCCAGGCTACTGTTCTTTTTAATGGGGAGGGGGCCCCTGGGCTTCCCTCCACAGGTAGGACGTGCAGGTGCCTGCCGCCGGGCCCTCAAGGCTTCTGCAGCCACCCGTGTGGGCCAAAACAAAACCTAGAACATACCATGAACCCCAACACCATCGGGGGCGGGGACGGAGACAAATGAGGCCAAACTCCCAATCCATGTCCCTTTTACATGGAATGTACTGGGGTCCAGTGTCCTTGGCTG